ACGAACAGTGTTTATATCGTTTTTACCTCGTGTAACCACAGCCATGTCAAACTGATCTGACGGCACAGGCGCTTCAGTCTACGCATACCCGGAAGTGATCGCTTGCGTGTGTACGTCACTCATTGTTTACACAGAGATTTCGGAAGTTTTACTTTCAATAAACATATATCGAAATCGTCTTCCATTGCAATTTCCTGTATATCTAAATATGTTTCGATCTTCACAGTGAAAGGTAAAACTTCCGAAATCTCTGTGTAAATGAGACTTAGGCCATGAGACTTAGACCTGAGTACAAAATTGGAGGCCCCTTCCTGAGCTGAGATATGGAGATCCCACATAGCATTTATGCCATTATAAAAATAGGTTCGCGGACGGTGGAATTTTGGGACGCCGCTTGGTGCCATGGACCCCGAGGGGCCTCCTGAGTGCAGTAAAATAGTTTTTATCACGACAGGAGCTCAAAACTCCGTGTGGGGAGCCCCTATGGGTCCCCTTCATCCAGCGTCCCCAGCTCCTGGGACCTTCCGTTTCTGAGATAATTATGATAAATTAATATTAATAATAATATTAATATGGGCTTTTGTCCACAAACCCCCAGTTTGGACTAACTCAAGTTATTATTTAACACGCTCTAATTAAAAACATGCACAGACACAGACTGTTTTGTGTGAATGTTGGAAACAGTCGCTTCAGAAAACTGGAGTATCGTCACTGGCAGGCAAAGTCTCTCGAGTTTCGCGTGATTTTCTCCAAAACATTCTCTCCATAAAATCAAATATGTTGTTGGTGCTTTCAAACATGAAACGTTAATAGCCTCTTGACTTTTGGTACTGTTTACCGACTTTCCCATGTTAACAACCACACACTCTAGACTTTATGAAGACTATTGGCCTCATTTATTAATGACTGCAAACAAATTGCGTATTTATGTGCACAGACTTACGTTTTGGTGCAAAACTTCCACCGGAATCATCACAGTGGCCAACGCGAACTCAAATGAGGGGGCGCGCCGCGCGTGACTGCAGTAATTTGCATAAAACAAGTCCAAACATCTATATAAGCGCAAATTAATCGATCTCACTCTTGCTTGTTTTCGTGAACGTGTAGGTTGAGTTTATTCAGATTTTTAATATAATTCAGATTCATTTAGCGAATTTGAATAATAAAAATATGATTGTCATTACTATTATGAAAAAAGTACAATAGTGCGAATTTGAATTCAATGTTTTTATGCATACGTTACGTATTACGCACAAATACGTGCATATGCGTGCATATTAGCTCCCGGGTAAATTACTATGCAAATCTTATTGCAATGTTGGGGTGGGTGGTTGGTTGGGCGGTTGCTATGTGGTTGCTAAAGCATGGGTTTTTAGCACGTCCTTTTGGCTACGTTCACACTGCAGGCTGAAACGACCTAATTCCGATTTTTTTGCCCCTATGCGACCTGTATCTGATTTTTTCATGACAGTCTGAACGACACAGATCCGATCTTTTCAAATACGACCCAGGCCACTTGGGTATGTGGTCTAAATCCGATATATATCCGATCTTTTGAAATGCGACTTCAATCTGAACGGCCAGGTCACATATATCCGACCCGCACGTCATTGCAAGCACCTGTAGCCAGCCAATAGACGAATCCGACGAGCGTTCTGTGTAGGCTGCCATCTTGTGGCGACGCCATTACTGAGCTGTTACACCGGCATAGACATATGCACCGGTATGTAAACAAACCTCGGTGAAAACGCGAAAGCACCCTCGATGACAGCTACAGACAGGCAGAATGACTTGTTGGGTTGATGATGTTAGACAGTGGCCTCCAGTCACCGATGAAGGTACAAATGATCTTAAAGATTATTTATGAAAATAGCTTGGCAAGTTGGCAAGCTAGCTGCTAACGTTTGCTCATGACGTTTGCTGAGGAAACTAAAAAAGATCTGTCCATTTGGCAACAATAAATAAATAAATGAATGAAATCAAATAAATAAATTCGTGTTTTTCCTTTGTGTCCATTATTTATCTCATTTTCACATTGCAACAGGCAAGGGTAAGGTAACGTTACAGCTAGAAAGTATACATGATATCGACCAATTAGTGTTTTTAAACCATGGAAAGAGGTCAATATAACAGCAGGAGAACAATTATGTCACATAACTTTACATTTAGCTCAGGAAAGCCATTTAATAACCATAGCATGTTAATTGAATAGAAAAAAATAGCAAGAGAGGAGATTTTGCTGATCACTATATCACATATTTATTATATTTTTTTTATGTCATTAAATAATTGTTATTATACGCGAATTTCCGCGTCTTGTACTCGCCCAGGAAATCTGTGTAAACAGTACGGCTCCAGACAGGGGCAGTCGACCCGGGGTATTCACAGTGTTTTTTCTTCAAAATTGAAATTTTACTGCCACCATTGAAACAATTTATAACGTAAACTGTTTACCCACTCCACATTATACAAGGGCTAACGGTGCAACGTTAGTGACAGTCGTAAATCGCGGGCTGTTTATTCCAGTGGACGCAAGTTGCAACTAAAACAATAGGAGGCAATGGCGCAACGCTACCCAGCAACAGCTCAGTAATGGCGCCCCGCTTACTTCCGGTAGTTTCGCCGGATTCGTCTATACACGCTAACTCCAACGCGTTTCCTCACTGTTATGGGCCACTGCAGACGTGTCTCTTCCCCAGTGTTGTGCCTGAACGCGTTTAATGAACGATAGTGCATGAACGCGTTCATATTTTCGCGTATCATATTATTCACGTTCGCCCGAAATAAACATGTATTACTGCCTGATGAACATTACTGTGAACACGTTCATTCTGCTGTATGTAAACGTGCGCTCTCTGTCAGTATAACTTTGTACAGTAGGGTGCCAGATATAGAGCCTTCCAAGCGAAAACCTGGCTAAAACACATGTGAACATGCCTTAAAATGTAGCGAATAACCACCCAATCTGGCAACACCGCGGCCGCCGGTGACAAAGCAAGGAGCGCCGCGCCGCCGCGGACACGCACTATCAATTAAACGGGTTTTATGACGAGGTCGGTGAGGATCGGAAAAATCTTACATTTATGTGCAAACTGCCCGTCGATAAAATAATTATTGTCTGTGTTTGTATATGGGCTGTGGCAATAATAATAATAAAACAAAAGCTCGCAACATATGAAAAAAAAGAACTATTCTGCAAACAACAAGTGACGTCTTGGACCGTTGATTACTCTTCTGCGCATGCGGGTCACTTCTGGGTCATTTCACGTTCACACAGGAGATCACAAAAAGTCGCATTTAATTGGAAATGTGAACGGCCTTGCAAAAAAATCGCATTTTTTCAAAAAATCGGAATTGAGCATTAAGCCCTGCAGTGTGAACGTAGCCTTTGTGTTGTTTGGTGGTTGCTTGGTGGTCCCACAAAAAGTCCACTATCAAGTCTCTCTGACATTAATATTCTAGCCAGTATGTGCCTCAGGTCGCTTCTTTAATGCAAATACACGATTTTTTTAATCAATCTTAAGTATCAGTCTATAGCACTCATAATGCAAAGCAAGTTAGACACCAATGTAAAAATTTTTGATAGTGGTTTAAAACAAACCCAAGTAAAAGCAATAATACTGATGCTTACTTTAAGAAACATCACTAAAATATAAATAGACAAATGTGTAAACAAACTCTATTGTCCCGTCTCTGTACCAAGCATCCCATCTCTCTTGCTCTGCTAATTACATGCAACCCACTGTCAGCCTATTGTTTTGCCCAACCATTAAATAACCCATTCATGGCTTTGCTTTAGGTCCCCTTGTCTTCAAACTAATTATCCATTCACTTTTTTTTAACAATCGTCATGACTTAAAATGACTTCAGCTTTCAAAATCTGCTCAAAAACCCAATTATGTCTTAAGCTGACAACTTACCCAAACACCCTTCTTTATAACTGAAGACGAAACAATAGCTTATCAAGACACAGGGAGTTATGCAGTACTGACACCAGCGACCATCCAAAGAGGCTCTGATGTAACGGGCACCGGCTGTGAAGGCAGACAAAAGGGAAACAACGCAAAAGAGAGCCATAGAAAATAGAGGGGGGGTTATTTTGTGACCTGGAAGGTCAGGTTCTACACTGGGATGATGATGCGGTTTGTCTTGTCAAAGCACCATGGGGGAACGTGTTTGTGTGTGCAGGGAGAGGGCAAGGGTTCAGCACTGACCTATAGGAAGAGAATCAAGGCTTTTGGTCTGGAATCCTGGGGTCACTCTTTAGATGCACATTCCAATGCATGTTCCTAACAGCGACCCTATAATGAATTTGTTTGACATCACTGAAGGTCTCACACTCACACAGAGCCAAGCATTAGAGGAATGTAACCAGTCCCTTCATACTACAAAACACACAGTCTCTGCCCCAGAGGAAGCTGTTGTTTTTAGCACATTAGACTGTAGTCTTTTGTGCGAATTGCCGGTATCGTAAGTGCAAAGAAAAATATTTTAGTAAGAAATCAAAGACGTCCAACACAATAAGAACACTTGTGCTCAAAAGGCAGTGTATTTGTGGACTTCTGGGAAAAATAACCTGAGAATGACAATGTGAATTCAACATACAAAAGAGAGAGAGAGAGAGAGAGAGAGAGAGAGAGAGAGAGAGAGAGAGAGAGAAAAGCGCATACTAGAGAAATTATAATGGAAAAATCCTTTTATTTTTCAAAAAAAAAAAAAAAAAAAATAGAAAAGTTATTTACACATACATGCCAACAGGCACTTATTAAATATCCTTCAGGGCCAAAGTATTTTCAAATATAAATGATCAAATAAGAAAAATCCTTCATTTTTTACATCTACAAAAAAAAAATTTAAATAAATAACTTAAACATTAACAAAATATGTACAAACACTCATTTCTTGATTTAAATGTGCACCAGAAAATAAAGTTAAACAACGTTAATAAAGTTTAAGGAGTTGACACTGTAATTATTTGGTGGTTGTTGTTTTTTGTCAACGTTTTCACCATATTTTTGTCTTGTTAACTGTTATATTACTGGTTATAGAACTTTAAACAATATTCCAGCAACAAATAAAAATGCATCCACATCTGCTCAGCATTTTAGACGAGCGTTTAAATTGCTCAACCAATCTTGTGTGAATGTTCTGCATTCAGGTTTTAAAAGCAAATGCTTTGAAACTTTTGGCACACTCAAACTAAATTACTTCTAATCGGTCCAAACTTTGGAAATGAACGAGGCTCTCGATTTTTGAAAACACTTTTTTTTTTTTTTTTTTTAAATCACTAGATTCTTTGGTTTGTCTTGGCCTCCCATTTTGATCTTCAGTTTGCTTTTTTGGATGGATTTCAAATTTTAAACATTTAGTCTTTGGCTAAGTGAGTCTTTGAATTTTAGTCTGTTTTAGTTTCTCACAGTTTGCTTTCCTCCTCTTCCATGGGTCGGTTTAGTCCGGGAATGTACTTCAACAGCCTCCGCCTGAAGCTCTTCTGTTTGGGTTTGCGCTGCAGTGTGCTGAACCCTCCGCACTGCTGTTTTTCTCCATTAGGCACCGAGGACGATGACGGGCCCCTCATGTGGCTGCGTGTGCTGGCGCTGCGGGTGAGGGTTGTCTTGGCAGTGGCGAAGAGCTCGCTGGCGGGTCGGGTGATCCGTGGGCGGCCACTTTGAGTCTTCTCTTGGTTTGTGTCGAGCTTGTCGTTGCTGTTGTTGTTGCCGCATTCCCCCTGGTAGATGCAGGTTTGGTAGAGTGGATCGTCCTCGGCCGTGGCGGCACTGAGGTGGCTCACGCTGCTGCTCGTGCTACCGGTGCCGAGTAACGCGCGCATGGCCGCCGGGCTCGGAGCTCCCAAACTACCGTACACGCCGGCTGACTCCAGAGACTCGTACACAGCCACGTCACTCATCACGATGCCTGTTAGAGTGAAAACAGATAGCTAAATTAACCTCTGGAATTTTTTTTAAAGCATTTTAATTGTATTTGTGTATTACAAGTTTTCTGAAATGTCACGTTTAAATATGCAAATAAGCCACAATCTAATTTATGTACAAATTTGTACAGAAATCAGAAAATTGGATAAAGCCAGGTTCAAAATTCTTGTTCCATTTTAGGATTAGGCTTTTCACACTGGCTAAGTTAACATGCAACCAAATAATCTGATAGTAATCTGATTGCCGGCTAAATCGGACTGAAAAGCCTTCACGTAAACACCTTAATTGATCCAACTGAGCTCGATCCGAATGGAATTCCGATCGGACTGAAATGGTAGGTTTATTCCTTTTCGATCGAGAGGACTTGATCAGATTGAAAACCGAAATTTAACAGGACTGTGCATGTGCAATGACATTGAAATGGAGTAATGACGTACGGCACGAGGAACGAGCTGTTCCTGTCGAATAGTGTCGTATAAATGAGTGTCCCGTCATTGTTTCGGATTCTCATCCACAGAAGACTGGTTTTGAGCATTTTTACTGCGTGATGCATATCAGCTGCATGGCACAACGGTTAATATGCTCATTTACTCCAAATTATGACCAGTCTGCTTTTAAAAAAAACAATGTAGGAGAATAGTCGGTACGCACAAACAGCAGGACATTTTCAAGTTTCGCGTTCATGTAAACACTACATTCAGATTCATCAATCGGAATGAATTCAGTCAGGTTGAAACAAAAGTTGTGCATGTAAACGTAGCCACTGAGAGTAACCCTGGCAAAAATATAAAATAGTGACTGAAAGCACAAATAGAGTGAAGAAGAAACCGTTTCATTCTTATAGTCCGAAAAGTCCATTCAGATAAAAAAAACTTTGATAGTAAATTCGGCAATATGTAATATGAGGATGCGCAATGCTAGAGCCGTTATGTAAACACATTGTGCGTATGGACGTTAACACAGGGATTAGGAATGTACAGTGTGAAACGGCAGCGTATGAATTAAAGATTAATTGTTTTAAGGATTGGAGGATTAAATAAGGATTAAGGATTGGTGGATTAATTGTTAACCCCAGGTAATTTATAAGCAATGTGAAACGTGAAGCAATGAGTCCATTAACCCGGGGTTTACGATGACCCAGGGTTAATTATAAGTGTGAAAAGCCCAATAGAGTCATAGGGATTTGACACCTTTTTTTCTTTTTTTTTTACCATGTTTTTAAGATTGAAAATCAGGGAAATGATTATGTAAACCCTTCTGTAAAGAACCACCAGAACAGATAGAAATAAAACAGTTAAAGGTTTGGTGTATGTTAAGAGCTTCTGAAATGGCAATTTCTGGCTTAGTGCACAAATAGATGAATTGCGGTAAAACTTTCGCATGTTTTCTTTCCACTCGTCAAAAAAAATGCTATTTTTTATTTATAAAATATTTTTATATTTTAGACTATTTTGCCTATAGTCTTGCATTCAAGTTAAATTACTCTCTGCTTTAAGATTTTTTTTTTACAATTAGTCTAAGAGATTCTGCAGAATAGTACAGTATTATGTTGGTATACTAAGGCATTTAGTTTGATCTTTAGTCATACTGGAAAAATGCTAGCATATGCTTCTAAATGTGCATCACACTCTTTAAGTGTTTAATACAATCTTGTGCTTACAGGAAGTGTTTTGTGTGACATAAATACATGCAAAAGAGCTCAGATGGCACTTGACAAGCTATGAAAACAACCTCACAACCAATTGGTGGCTTATTCAAAGGCCTGGGTAAGCAAGATTGCCATCACGTGCTAAAACTCACCATGCACAAGCCGCTGTTCTTGCACCATTAGAGATCTGTATTCGTCCCATTTCTCATGCAGGGTTTGCTGGAGAGACAAAAGACACAGTAAGAGTCATTCCACGTGTCCTTTGGCAGGTCTGTTCATTTACTTTTTTCCCATCATCATCATCGAGAACAGGGAAGTGTGGTCAGTGAGGTCAGACTTAGCTCTCAGTTCTCTATCGCTACTTCTCAAATCAACAAGCCATCAAATTTGAACGAAATGCAGAGTTCTTTGTTATCTAGGTCCATTTTTTTTTAATCATAGTTCTTTTCGTAAAGCTAATATGTTGAAGTAATGAATGAAAAGATGGTCTGTCATGATTTAAATTTTTGTAACTATTGACGAGATTCAAAGTCAAGAGACGATAATTATTTTCATGTTGGGAGATAACTATGGCGATTATAGATATGGCGATTATATTTATATACCATTTTGTTTAAATAAAACTTTCATTAAAACTAAAATCAATTGTTTTAAATGGTACAACATAATGTACAGTGTAAAAAATTTATATTCATTTTAGGGTTTGCAAAAGATTGCATTCAACAGGGTTTAAATTAATGTTTTAAAATATTAACTTTAAGTGTTATTTATATACTATTATAGTTTTGATTTTACTTTTTCAGTTTGTTTAAATCGTATAGTAATTATATGTGACGGTGCCATTTTTAAATAAGCTTTAATATATATTTTTTATCTTTTATTCACAGTTTTAGTTTCAATAATTTTAATACTTCAACTTAAATGGAAATTGTCGTTTTTAATCATTCCAGCTAACAATAAATGTGAAGCAAACAAAAGCAATCACTGAAGCGCGAGCATTACATGATGACACATGTAGTCTAAATATAAAACATAAGCAATTCAACAATTAATAATAATAATAATAAAAAATACTATTTATGTCTGATTACCAATATGGCCAATCATATTTTCCCATAAGCCATTTGACTCATTGTTAGATACTAGAAATTTCAGTTTACTACTCCACTGGTTGACTTTAAATTAGTTTTTTTTTTTTAGTTTGCAACTAAACAAATTATTTTCTTTCAACCATGACAAAGGTGTGTGCCAAAACATGTTGGTTTAAAGCTCTCCAACCAACGATTGCAAAACTCTGTTCAGTTAATATAATAGTATTTATAAAAGAGAGCTTGTGCATGCCTCATATACAACGATGAATTCAAAAGAGCAGTGTAGCAAATGACACGAACACATATATAACCAATGTTCACCACACCGTGATTCAGCAACTCTCAAAAACGGCAGAAGCGAGTACCATAATTAAACCGTATTCTTTATGAACTTAAACTTTACAGCCTATGCATCTTGAGAATGTCCCGAGGAATGTAAAACTGTGTCGTGCTTCTTTTCAGCTGTACTGCAGTATGTGAGGATTAAGACTGGACTGTCATTGAAACAGGTGGGGTGTGAGAGGAAACAGGTGTGATCAGCGCTAGTGTTTGGTGCCAGGCCAGGGCAGCTGTGTTAAAGCTGGGCTTACATTACAACACTTGTAAACGTCTCGGTATACGAGACGACACGCTGCTTGATACGTGCATGTCGGTTTGCATGTGGTTCGTGTGACTTACCTTTAGATACTGCAGTCGGGCTTCCAATTCTGCTTTTCTAATAGCGTTGCTGTAGACCGTTTCTAGCCTAGACACAGGAACAAAATAACAGTGTTGCATGACAAAGTCCCTTCCTATACTGTGCAGTATTAAATGTCTTTAAACATTCAATCTAATGAACAAACCAATTCAAGTCAAATAGCTCTTTAAAACAGACTTCAGACCACAACGTGTCTGAAAACGAGCTTAGTGGTAATTTAAAACTCCCCTTCCCCCAAATGTATATGATTTCAAGAGCAGCATTGGTGATATGGATATGAAGCAGGAACCGCTTTTTACTGGGATGCTGTAAACTCTCATTTACAGCATAACCCCATGTTTAAAAGTGGAAATAATTTGAGTTAAAAGCCGTGGAGAGGGAAGGCATGAACTGCTATGCGTTCATGTGGTTCACATCTACACTTTATAAATGGAGGCTCATTTTCACAGGCCTTTTATCTTTTATTAAAAAGAAAATAAACGTGGGGAAGGAAAGTGTGGTTCCAATCAAGTAATAGTAGATCTATTTCTTCAAGATAATCAGAAAAAAACCACAGGTACACTTGAAACAATTTAGTTTAAATTTAAACTTTTAAAACAATTCTATTTGGGGGAACGTGTGACTCTTTTGCTAATCAGACATTGAATAACACTGAATATCTTCATACCTAATGTCGTTGCCAGATGATTTAATGAGCTGGACGATTTCTTTATGGCGAAAGCCTTCCACAGAAGTGTCGTTCACGCTGGCAATCGTGTCTCCTACAAAGCCCAGAAAAGAGAGTTTAACTGAGAACTGTTTTGATTGGAAAACAAAAACTTTGTGTGCTGTACTGCCTAGAGTGATAGTTCAACCAAAAATGTCAATTCTGTCTTGATTATTTACTCACCCTCATGCATTTTGAAACTTGTATTGACTGACTTTCTTCTAAGGAACACAAAAGACGATACTTATTGCAGAGTGTCCAATTTCAACACAATAAAGGTGAATGGTGACCACAAGTGCTACGCAAGAGTTCAGAGGAAACATTTTCAGTGAACACATTCGGTTTCAGTCGGTTACTCACAGAAAGCGAAAAACACTTAAAATAGTGCAAAAGTTGATGGTGCTTTATTTGAACCGTTTTAAAACTTGACGTCACATTCACTTTCATTGTCCAGAAAAGAGCAGCGTAACCATTCTGCTAAACACCTCCTTTTGTGTTCCACTGGAATAAATTATCATCTTCTTGTTTTCTTTTTCTTTTCACATGACAAACAGACTTCACACATCATTGTGTAATGAAACGTAATGAAACAATTTCTTTTCTCCAAGGAGAGTTTTGTGTTTTCTCGTCTTAGAACGATGTCGATGAGGTCATGTGCTTTTGAGAGACAGGCCAAAGGCTACAATGGCGCAAAGCATTCAGGGAATGCAGGAAGCGAAACCAACACACACGCACAGCAACTCTGCGGAGGAGTTCCTATTTACTACAGATCTGACATCAGTTTATCTATGAATCATAATTGTTATATTTTGGACTAGAAGAAGATCAACTGATCCTAGGACAGAGCAAACATATTTTAGATGCAGACGTGTTTTTTTCCTCATAGAGATTATAGAAAAGAATGCAGATTCTGTATATTAAATTTCAAGAGGTGACATTTCATAAAAGCCTGAATGTGAAATTATAGGACAAAGATTTATTTTTAGAAAAACTTTTACTTTTTACTTGTCAACATTTTCTAAATAAATTCTCTTACAAGTTTCTAGAAGTATTAAAACTACCACAAAGATGCAAGTTTACATGCATGACGAACCGCTGTTGAAGCATAAGACTTCTTTTGAAAACATTAAAAAAAATCGTACTAACCACAAACATTTTAATGCAGTGTATTTGTATTTGTATTTGTATATCTATCTGTCTGTATATCTATATATATATGAAGAGTTCAGATGCAAAAGCCTCTAAATGCCATTTGAAATTTTCCTCTAGAATGGTCATTTTTATCAAGCTTGTATATTTAAGTTCAGTAATTTCACTTAAATGGCAATTAATAGGTAATCTCCATTGCCATTTAAGTGAAATTACTTAACTTAAATATACAAGCTTGATAAAAATGATCATTTTAGAAGAAAATTTGAAATGGCACTTAGAGGCTTTTGCATCTGAACTCTTCATATATAAACCTTTAATTTAAGCTCCATTTACCTTTAAGCTCCATTTAATTTATGTCAGGATGAAAGATTTATGCCAAGTACAAAAAAGAGCTCAAACTAAAAGGGAACAACCCTAGCAGATTGAAATAGAGCTTCATATATACATGTAGCCCACAATAAACCACAGAGTTTCTTGACTGTATTCTGTTTCACAGTTCGAAAGAGTACAAATCCATCAACTGTCTACGTGGGTGCTGACCTGTGGCTGTGATATTTGCTCTTGCTTAAACAGCATGGCTGTCACTCAACTGTTCTGCTGTTGACAGATTGACGAGATCGAAGAGTCAGAAAGCAAGCCTTCTGAAATATTACTCCCGTTCACACAGACTCATTTTACTACAAAACAGGATGTTCAAGAGGTGGATGAAGGAAAGAGATCCTTGTTGTTGCTTTGAAACGTACTCCCTTTGACCCCGAGGACTACTCGAAATATTCTAGCCTGGGTGTCAAATGCTGGTTTAGAGCGGGACTGAATGAGCAAACATTAAGGGTGGTGTTAATGTGAGCACACTTACCGACTTTAAGGCCTGCAAGTTGGGCAGGACTGTCTTCGTGAACTTTGCAAACAAAAGTGCACATCTCCACCGAGTTCTCACTCTGGTGATGCAGTCCGTATGTCTGCAGGCACACACACACAAAAAAGGGTGGTAAACAATGCAGTCTCTTTTACAGAGAGTAATGTTATTTATAGATATGCATTCAGATTATACTAAAGTAAACAAAATGAGTCATAGTCTAGCTAGTAAAGGTGTGCCATTTTCTTCAATACTAGGACTTATTGTTCGACGTAGCATCGCTAAATCAAGTCTGATAGCATTTCCACGGTGACTTAACACCATCATGTGCTCAATGACTAGAATGTTGATACACAAAGACTGACTGACAGACTCAATGGCTTAAAGGAAGCCGAACGTGAGGAGCGGCTCCAGGTTGTTTACACACATGCAAACATCCTTGATAAACAAACCACACCGAAACTAGGCCGTTTGAAACACCTGTGTTTTGTTGTCATTTCAATGTTTGATCTGTAAGCAGGACAACTCCAAGCCATTTGACTGAGGCTTAAAAATTATTTTTGGCTAAACATCATTTTATATTTGATGACCATTTCTGAATGTTAGCAAGAGATAAAGGGTGCTTTCTTCCTTCCATTTTACTGTAATGTTGAGCGTTTTAGAGTGAAAATGATATTCAGTCATAAAGGAAAGTTTTCAAGTGAGCAAGTTACATATAATATAATATAATATAATATAATATAATATAATATAATATAATATAATATAATAAACTGGCCATGCACAAGCAGTTTGCATTATGGATGGAATATAACATAACACATAACATAACAAAACATAACAATTAGGGCTTTCAAACGATTAATCGCATCCAAAATAAAGGTTTGTGTTTACATAATATATGTGGGTGCACTGTGTATAATTATTTGATATATATATATATATATATATATATATATATATATAAACACACACATGCATGTATATATTTAAGAAATATTTTCATGCATATACTGAATATAGATTTATATATAATTATATATATAAATAATATTTTTTTTCTTAAATATACATGCATGTGTGTGTATTTATATATATATATATATATATACACACACACACAAAACAATTATACATAGTGAACCCACGTATATTATGTAAACACAAACTTTTATTTTGATGCGATTTATCACGATTAATTGTTTGACAGCCCTAAATATAATATAATATAATCAACATAGACAAAGCGGTTTGCAAATTAGATGGATGGATAACATACAAAATATTATTATAACTCAACAAAATATAATATACCCATGATCCTACATAGGACAAGTGGCTTTCAAAATGGATGGATACAATTGTTTTAAACTGTAAATTATGTTAAAGTTTTGCAGTAGCAATAAAAAATGTAGTTTGCACCATTAAGATCTTATACAATTCATCTATTCTGCAATAAAACAACTCAAGTCTGCTTCAGTGGACTAGCCCCCGGATCTCTATGCAAACTGTGAAGGATGTTAAGTCGCTATAACATATCATAGTGGTGTGAGATATTAAGAATACAATGCAACTCTACACACAGCAAGAGTTTAAAACAGGAAGAGACTCAGTTAGAGGTTGATATGCAAAACATCAGCTTCAGTTTCCACCATAACTGTAATCAGTAGCTCAGTTCAAGACACACACGCTGATATACTGATGCCATTTGGAAGGGTCATTTGCATGGTATCAGTGGTATTTTTGGTTCACTGATGTCTAGATTCAAATGAGTGTCTCAATATGCTGTTCATTTCCTGATGTGAGTGGAGCCATAATGTTTTTTGTAGCGTGCAACATTTTCAGCAGTCACCAAAGAGACTCGCTGTGGCTTTAAGACGCTCTCACGATGTTCACTTTCACAATGAATGACAATTGCTTAAGTGTGTAAAATGCGTAGGAACGGGTGATTTCAATGCCTTTGCGGATGACTGATGTTGGTGCTCATTTCCTCAACTGAAACCCAAAGGTGTTGTTGAGGTTAACAGCTTAGTGTGCAGAGGACACTGTTAAACCTCATTTTGTCAAAAGAAAGGTGAATCTGACTAAACTTTTGATGACTTCATAAGGATTGTCTTAAAGGGATGGGTTTACCCAAAAACTAACATTCTGCCGTCATCATTTACTCACCCTCTGGATGTTACAAACCACTATGACTGACTTTCTTCAGCAGAGCACAAAAGATTGTTTTAAAGAGGGCTCACACTGCTCCTTACCATTACAATGAAAGTGAATGGGGACTGGGGCTGTTAATGTCCAAAAAGGCACAATAAAAGTGGTCCATATGACTTGTGCGCTATATTTCAAGTCTTCTAAACCCATGCAACCCAATTTATGTGTGAAATGTGTGAAATTTCAGCCGATATTCTCGCTTCTCGCTTGACAGCCAGTCAACATTCATTTCATTGAATGGAAACAAGCCTTTTTGACATTCTCATTCTGCTATAAATAACTTTTTTAATATAGTACAGAAGAAAACAGGTTTCAAAAATCATAATGAGGAGTACATTTTGAAAATATTAAGGGATAGTCCATCCACCGTTTTTTCATTTTAAACTATCATCTAAACTATCATGAAAAATCCTCTCCAGAGTGATGATATTACTGCGCCGAGTCGAAGTGCTCCCAATCACTTGCTGTGGTATTCCGCCATACATTATAGTTATCCACTTTACACGCTTAGAAAAGTGCAACGTTTTATTTTTTGTCACCATTCTTGGTTGAATTACTCTGTAATTCACTACTGTTTTTAAATATGGAAAACGTGGAGGAGTAAGTGCACGCACAGAGAGGAGAGAGGCATGCGTCAACTATGTTTACACAGAATCGATTCTGAAGAGAAAACGCAAAAGTGGCGTTACGTTATCACTTTTTATTCTGCGTTTAGACGAGCATCCATATGGTGACGCAAAAGTTTGTGAAATTCAATGTAGTATGCACTCCAGGCGGCTAGGTGGCAATGTGGAGCACTGCCACACAACAACACCAAGTCCGCACGCCTGCGTACAACCTTCACTGTCAAGCAGACTTGTGCGTTTTTACCAGTTTTTACCATTTACATGGGAACGCGGCGGTGGAGCATTTTTAAGATTTCCAGTCTAGAGGGTGGTTTCACTTTTTTCAGTTTTTAAGCCCCTAAAACGCCGTCGCCGTGTAAACGAAAGGCACAGCCAATAAAATATATTTACGTTTTCACCCGCGAGCGTTCTCGTGTAAACAGGGCCTTAGTTTAGGGAATAACATAGTTTAATATATATAAAAAAAAAAAAAAAACGGTGAAGTATCCCTTTAAGAAAAGCCACTATCGTGTTAAATACTTGATGCAATATTGTATGGTCTGAACTGTAGAGAAAAAAAATAAATAAATAAACTCCCAACTATCACTCATTTAGGAGAAAAAAATGCAAATGTCTATCACTGAAAAGTGAATCATTTATAAAGTGTTTTCAAATGTTAGGAATAGTCGGCTTCCTTCCTCTTCCCACACACTCCAAATGCTTACACGAATCTCTGAGACACCAAGCGCCACAGGAGATGCAAAGTACAGACATATTTACATAGTAGATATGGCCAACCGTATCCCCACTGCTAAGAGTCTCAAACAATGTTGTCTACAGAACACCATCCCAGAAAACAATTCATTTCTTGATATGTCGACCTATCACGTGACAGAAACTTGATGTCATATCCTGTACTGGAGGACAAGGCAGGAAAGGAGGGGTTCTGCATCCTGCATCTGAACTATTATACATTACTAAATATAAACTAGCTATCTGACACATACATCACAACAAATGACAAACTGCTTTGAGGCATTATAAATAATTACTAATGCAGAGTGCATAATCGGTTCCACATTGAGGTATCAGGTTTTGATAAAGTGAGTGTTGTGAGGAATAAATTACAAGACAAGCTCATTTTTTTCTCTTATTACATGTGGAGAAACCATAGCTAATAGTTTCTGTTGAAACGAGGTGCCATACACTGAAGTTTAATCACAAGTGAGACCTTGACGCTGAATATCCTGAGCAGCCCACCCACATGTACAAGCTACAATGTTTTCAACTTAAAATAGAAAACATATGCATGATTTTGCATTTACTATAGGGTTAGGGCAGGATTTAGATAGAGTTAGTTGCATTATTTTTATGCATAATTTACTGTTATTCCTATGGTAAGTACATGTAACATTTAACAAGGACACTGTCAACCGTTTTAAGTACATCGTTTTCATGTAAACGTACCCTAGATCACTTGAGACAGATTTTACATTATTGTACACCAGTTCAGATGCCATGAACGAATTCCGATAATATGTAATTGCATACAGAGCGTCTAAATCCCTCTTACCTGGATTTCAAAGCCAAAGGCCTCCTCCTCTTTCTTCTCCAGGATCACCATTTTCCTGGAAAGAAATTCAGCAAAACAGAGAGGATTCTGTTAATATAAACAGAAGAAAGGGCTGCTGTACAGGAACGGTCTGACTGCTTTAGCCTCAAACCATGACCTTGACTAACTGTCAATGCTTACAGGAACAAGGATGATGAAAGATCACAGAGGAAATGCATAATCGACCCATGATTCTGCTATTTTGGTGGATACGTCTTTATGGCATAATAGGAAACGTGTGGGGAAAAAAAAAAAAATCAAAAAACAAAACAAAAGTGACATCTGAACAACTCACTCTCAAACTTTGTTTTCAGTATACTTTCAGTTTCATAATTATACAGTAGAGCCCGACCGATAAAGAATTTTGAAGGCTGATACTGATACAAATATTTGTTTGTTTTAAAATCCGATATATCGGCCGATATATATTTTTTTCTAAACGCGCAACAAAAAATGAACAGATTTCCCTAACATTAGTTATTTGTAGTCATTTATGAGTTAACTAAAATAATATGATAATGAATTTTATAAAGAAACTTGTTTCTTTTATTGTCACAACAGAACAGACTGATGACCGAGTGCCCTCTGATGGACAAACTATACAACTCCAACATTTAAAACATCGTTCAAACGTGTTTCGTCCGTTTTTATCTTATTTTTTAAATATTCATTTATCGGCCATTATAACTGCCGATACCGATAGTTTGGAAAATGCCTAATATCGGCCGACCGATATATCGGTCTGGCTCTATTATAGTGTGTAGTGTTGTCAAAAAACTCGGTACTTCGGTACCAAGTCGGTACTAAAAAAAAAAAAAATGTTACGGTACCAGCTTTTCTAGGTACCGAGTAACGTTACCAGGTTAATCCAGTTCTGTTCTAGACGCGATGTCTGAAACGTGCACAGTTGCGTCCTCTTTAACGCTGATATGGCTCTCTCTCTCTCTGAATCCACTTGTTGAAACGAAAGGAGGAAAAAGCCACATATGGAAATATTTTGGATTAGGCTAATGTCACGTTGCCATAAGAGGCCGATTACATGCAAACTCGCAATTTCAAATATAGGCGCGATTCAAGCGCGCTCATAATAAAAACTTGTTGGCGTTGCATAGCAACAACAGACGCCGCGTGAGAGCAAGCGCTTTGGAAAGAATAAGCACGCGCAAAAATATAATTAAAAAACACGCGCGACATGTGAACGGCCTCTAAAGTGCTTTCGGGGTAGTTTTACGAGTACATGAGCACAGTAGTATCCACCCGACACCAGAGTACTACTGGTATTAGTATTGTCATTTAATGTCAGTGCCAGTATAGGCGTATTCTTGCCTTTATAACTCAGCAGGTTTAAAAAGCCTTTTTAAAATTAAATATGAATGCAGTTTTAGATTAAATAAAAGGACAGTCAAGTCAAATAAAACATGTTTTATGGTAATGCTACAAAGATACCATTCATCAACATTACTTAGTTATCAACACATTGAGTGAACAATACATTTTTACAACATTAATTAATGTTTGAAAATTTTATTTATTACAAACACCTGATTGTTAATGTTTGTTCACTTAATTCATTGTGCATTAAATAAATAATGGATTAAAACTTTACAAACAACTTTAAAAATGTGTTAGTGTATACTATTGTTTATTTTAGGTCATTTTATCTAATCTTTTTCTAAAGTGTTTATAATACAAATGTACAGTTTCCATACTTGTAACCGTGATAAACACTTAAATATATGTAGATTTAAACTAAGCTTTGGTACCGAAATTGGTACCGAGAACCGTGAATTTTAACTGGTATTGGTACCGAATACTGAAATTTTGGTACCGTGACAACACTAATAATAGTGTGTTTTGTTTCTCAATAATAACAATCTCATGGCATGAATTACTAGAACATGTTCACTTTAAACTAGAGATGACTTATGTGTTGATAATACTAGTTGTCTAGACAAGCAATCTCAGGATTCAAACATCTAAACCATGAAGATATGACAAGACCCCTGTTTTTCTGAAAGTACTCATCCATTATTAGGCACTCATGAATTATCTATATGCATTGCATATACTCAGCAATAAAGAGACACATACAGAAAGATCATATCTGGCCGATCCAACACACACTCCCTTCATTTCATTCATTCAGTCCTCTTGAAACAGGTTATATTACATAAATCTATAACTGCGTTTGTTCAAAGGGGGTTATTTTTATTCCATGACACCATGTAAAAGGTGTGAATGACTATGACTATGGTCTGACGTTTTCATAACTGTCTAAATAAATCGAGCGTATTTTGGGGAAATAACAATGACGCATGCATACGCCAATCAAATCTGTGTAGGTGGAAAAAAAAAGCAGGGGCAATCTTACCTTTGTGGTTCTGGAGACTGTGATAGGGGCTTCCATTTTTGCAGCCCACCGTTCTGTTCAGCAACCCAGATTGATGAGGAGGAAAGATAGAAAGACAAAGAGAAAGAAAATGAGTGTCTGGGACTTTTGGAAGATCTGCCCTTGAAATCCCCCTTGATCAACAGGTCTTTAGGCTAGGTTGTGCTCAATGTGTTCATTTCACACATGTAGTTTAACAGCTCGGATGACAATCACAGATATAACCTGAAATGCATGTCTATCTGATGCCTTCTCTGAACCGTTCCTGTCACGGCTTTCTCTTGTACGTGCTCTGCTCTTATTTTATCGCAAAGACTAAAGGTTTACTTACAGTAGATGTCTTGGAAATTATCACAAGGATGATCTAAGATGTAGCCAGATGTGTGATTACAAGTTCTGCCATGTTCTACAACAATTGCCCTGATGTTCCAGCTGATAACCCAAATTCATTCATATTACGCCCGCTCTGACAGACGCCCATTCAATCGGGCTCTACCTCAACGCCATCAACTTCAGCTTTCCACAAAGTGCACTTTGTGCAAGAACCCTCCTAAGCTAGTAAAACGTTGGCTTTCTTTATTTTCATACTCTTTGAGAATTGTGGTAGGGTCTCCTCAATGACTTCATTTATTTCCATGTAACTAAGAGGTTCCCTCGGGGGCAGTTGGATGGAGAAGCAAAGCTCTCCGTCGCACAATACCCTGTTGTGGCCCGGCGTTTACGCAGAGTGTAGGAGTCACGATACAGAGAGCCGTTCATAAACCTACCCTGCCCTACAATCCCAATCTTGCTGTGTACTGTAGTACTCCACTGTGAGTAAGCCTTGTTTAGGACTAATTTCTGCAAATTAAAATGCAACATTTAAATGTTGCTGGCTAGTTTGAGTCAACCAGCTGTAAAGGAGCTGTTGTTTTTGACCTTAAAACGGCAATTGAAAAATTGCTGTCATACCACACAATTCATCTAAAACACAGCAACAGTCATGGATAGTTCACCCAACAATGAAAAACTCAGCATTTACTCGCCCTCCTGTCATTCAAACCTGAATGACAAAGCATTAGACTCATTGACTTTCAATGCATGGACAAAAGCAAATCGAAACATTTTTAAAATATCTTCTTAAACGCTCCACATAATCTCAGTTACTTTATTCTGGCAGATGGTATAAAGTACCTTAGGTAAAAAAAAAGACCAAATATAAGAAGACTTTTATTTATTCCAACTGCTATTGGTATTTTAAAAGATGAATCTCATGTTTTTCTTAAGAAGTTATGTACGTCTTTATGTAGTAGGTTTTAAAACGGATGCGTTTTTGTGTATTGTTTGTTGAGCCTTTGTCTAACAGACAAACACATGCTACTAGACTATAGATGCTGTTTTGATTGCCACCAGAAAACTACCCGGAGATATCAAGATCATATCAGAGCTATTTGAATTTCAAAAGCCATTTCATTACACGATCAACAACAAAACCACACTGTCTGAGCCCCGTTTACTCAAGCTTTTTCAATTCTGCAGTAAATTCAGTTCCACACCACAAAGGTCACGGACAATTCGGAAGAGGCTTCTCTGCCCCGGACACTTGGTGAGGTTCCATAAAACGGCTTGGCTGGCCACACAGGAGGTGGTGGACTGTTAAAGTGCAGGCCCAAAATTCAGCAGGGACACATATGAGCTGTTTACAGTTACTCAAGAGAGTAAGACCAGCGTGTGGGTGGTCCAAAGGCACCGGGAAACACTTTACACCATGAGTGACCATGAAACACACTTCGCGGTGTCTAAACCCAAGGGCCAAAACCAAGCAGGCTCACATCTGCATGGTCAATGCCCAGGAGAGCAACTGGTTGTGCCAAAGCAGAGTACAGTGTAGAGGAGAGCAGCAGATTAATGTCTCTCTTTGGATTTGAAAGGAAGTGTGGGAGACTTTATGCTAGATGTATACCTAGGCCTATAGTCCATACTATTACGAATTGGAGGAATTACAACAACAACCAGTACTCTGGGTTCGGGCTGAATTCCTCCCCCCGGACAACACGCCAAATACGCATTCAACTTTACTCCTACTAATTGTATGTACTATGCAAGTGTGAACTTGTGATTTATTATTATTATTAATAAATGTTAAATATAAAACCATTCACGTGACAATTGTCCTCTTGTTTTGATCACTGTTAGCTTAAAATGCTACTCATTTCTCACATGGTTGCTACGTAAACTTAAGTATACAACCTTTGAACTTGAGCAAATTTTACCACAGAACACTGGTGTTTCCTGCTGAATGCACAGTGGTGTCATGGCATCACAATTTCTATTTTTTAAGCGATATGATGAGTGATCTGTTGTATGAACAATAAAGAATCAATCATGCAAAAATGAAAGTAGTCACTCCTAAAGATTCAAATGCATACATGCAAATGAGATTCTTCAGAGGAACTGTCACATGCTGATTATGGTCACAGATGCACGCTGATGGACAGGTGTGAATAAGCGCAGGTCTAGAAATTCTTTACATGCCAAATAAAGTGTGACAACTGCTTGAACCATTCAGGACAAGACTCAAACAAGGACATCACTGCTACTCAACAGTGGTTGTTAATCCAGAAGCACTCCAGCATTGCACATTTTGAATGTCTCATACCCAGTTCAGAGCATCAAACAATGTGCTGATGATAATAAGGGACACATCCAAAATGTGCAGTTCTAGCTAATGTTCAGCCAATGATGATGGCATATAAAGTCCATAAGAGAGGTAATAGCTCAACTTGTGTGCCTTTAAACGAATCAAACTTGAGTGGAGCATGCACACTGCTGCTTCTAATAAAACAAACTCACAGGACTGTTGTTTCTGTGCTTAATTAAGGCCAGACACTATCATGCAATAAATTCAAGATGTTCATGCATAGAGGGCAGGATATAAAAGAGGCTAACAAGTGTAAAATTACTTCTAAAGTCTTCACTCTATACGCTGATAGAAGTGTGAATTCAGTGTTAAATAACATAGAGGACACTACAGCTAAACCTTGCTGAAGAAAACAAACAAACTGGTGTGCTGCTGGTCTCCCAGCGAGACCAGTTGAACATTAAATAATAAGCTAAAATAAAAATAACATAGTTTACAATGTTTTAGCGGGATTTCCTTAAACAGACTTTAGCTGAAAAGCGTCCAGAACTCGTCTAAAACCACCTAAAATACCAGTTTGACCATCGGGAGGCTAACTAACGTTAAGCCCGGAAAATTCATCTAAGGCTGGACTAAAATGTTTTTTGTTGTTGTTTCAGTTGGGAATTAAAAAAGCTAGAAATATGTCATAATAAAGATCACTTGTGTGTAAACTGCCAATGAACATTTAAACACTTTTGAGTTGAGGACTCAAATACAGGATTCGAATCTCGAAAGTAAACTGAAATGCTCTAACCTTTTTAAAATTCCTTGGTAGGGTCCCTCCAGAGTAAGCGAGGGTCTTATAATTATACACCTCAGTGGAGTTTGAGGGTCCACGGTCCACTGTACAGCTGTCCGATTTGGAGGAGGTAAAGTAGATATCTCCACTGTCATGACTCAACGAACCACTGTCCGGCTCGTTTGAGTTCAGCTTCTTTAAACGTCGGAAAGTCATATTTTTCATAGTCCGCGTGTCACTCAATAAGAAAGTAACACTGGATGAAAGAAGAGCGAGAGATGAAAAGTACTGAATGTGGGCGAGGAGACACCCACTCGGCACAAGCCTACACTTTAACTTTAGCAATAATCCCCAGCTCAAGCTCAGCAGGAGCAACAGCATCTGCGGACAGACTCGTCGAGTTAAGAAAAGCACATGTCAAGGAAATCCTTGAAATGGGGCGGGACCTAGCGACCCTAGGGGGCGGGGACACATAATTGGTGCGATGCGATTGGCCGTCTTCACAGAAGCGATGCACTTCAGCCACGACCATTACTTGAAACGGTTTTGAAGGTAGAATTAGAAATATAGTATTATTTACGATTACATTTTATGGCATTTAAGACGTATTGACTTGGAAACGTACTGTAGTTTGACGGCTATTTATTAAAACCAACTCTGTGGTTTTGTATGCGAGTTGATAACACTTACACAATATTAAAATTTTTAAATATATATTTTTTTTATTTCCAGTACATTTTATTTGTAATATATTTGTGTTTGGATAAGTAACTTACATCTAGCCACATAATTTAACTCTACGGTTTAAAGCTCACAATCGGTTCATTCGAATCCCACATACAGGCTCTTGACTCGAATCATTGTTGACCGAGAACCACCGATTCAGTCCGAATAACATGACGTGCACGTAGGTGAACCGATTCGTTAAAAAGCTTCGACTCAAGAGAAGACGAGCACGTCTACTACTCACAATCAATCAAATATACCTAATAATATATGCCAGGCGTTATGCAGAGTTAGTGAAAGTTTATTGAAATTGGTGAACCTTGAATTAATAAAGGCAACCCAATTATAATTAAGCACTAGTTGCAACATTTTACAAAAAAAAAAATATTTAAAAATTTTAATATTGATGTTATTTTATAAAATTATATGAGTTAAGTATGAGAGTTTTCTCGTTTCAGTTGGGTATTTTGGTGTAGGCCTGTACATAAAAAAACTAGTTTTAGTAGCCCAGAAATGGTAGGCCTATGATAGAGAAAGTGAACTTGAACCCGATGCTTGATCAGGCTGGTTATTCAAACTGATGGCGCCCTCTAGTGCTTATATGCGGTAATACATCTTATGAACTTTGGCAAATGACGAAAAAAAGAAGATATATAACATTGAAATGTTTATTCAGACAAATTCAAAAAATTAATAGATGCTTTACATTCTCAGGAACAACATAGAATTATAAAGCTATGCCAGAGGGCCATTCATTTGCAGTGCAATCTAAAACCTTTAGGATTTTGTCCACTGAGTTATAAGAACAAACTAAAATAACAGATTACTATCACTATTTAAATGTATGAAATGTTGCAAAAACAGCACACAACTGACTCAATACATTCTTAATACAGTGAAACCTAATTAACATACCATGGATTTTGTTTCAATATATTATCTCAATATTACACCTACTATTTTAGGTGTACAATTTAACAGCAAATAAATTAGATGTCTCATCAAGCTCTTAAGATTTTGATTTGCTAAATCTAGTCATTGTTCTGGCAAAGAGCGCACTGGCACATTGGATTAATCTTGACATTCATGATTAGTAACTGCAGTAGCAACAGAAGATTTAGGCTTAGCTGAGAGAAAAAAAAAAATCTAAAGGAAAAACAAAAAGCACAGTGCAGAGTTAATGCAGATCTGCTTCTAATCTTACAGCAAAGTCACTGTTTTGCACAGCAAATTCACTAGATGCTTTGGAGTGATGCATATTTTATGTATATCTACATAACCTTAAAACAAGTATTCAACATATGTACTTGGAATGACCTGTGCATATAATATATGTATATCACAGCAAAAAAAATGCATGCAAAAATGAATGCATGATGACCTACTGTTTAAGAGCACTACATTTCTTTAAAGAGAGCATAATTGATATTAAGATGAAAAGTTTGTACCTCATGTAAGGATAATCTCCTAAAACACAAGGATTTGAGTAAGTAAACATCTGTTGCGAAATTAACATAATTGCTTTAAACTTTCATTGGCTTCAGAGTCCTTGTTAATGCACACACAGTTTTGAAGTGACATGGATCATCCTCAAGCGAAGGTAAACTCTATTTCAGGTTGAAAAAGCCAGATTTGGCTTGAGGGCCCATCATCATACTAGCTTGGTTCTTGTGTGTGATGTTAATCTGAGGAAGTAAAAGAAAATGGTTAAAATAACAATAAGTTAAATCTCATTTAATGCAATGATGTTTCTACTGGTCCAAACTAAAGGTTAAATACAAGTAAAATATCCTAAGATGACTATATGTCACTTAATTTTAAACCGAGTCTTTAGTGCCGTTTCATAGTTCAGTATTTTTGAATCATTTGGAAACAACACTCATGATGCTTAAACAGTTTATGTCGCTTATTAGATTAGTAGAAAAACTCCTTTTAATAAGACTTGTTTTGGTTGAGTGAATGACTCACTCACTCATAAATCTGCAGAAAGGGTCACTGAACAACTCGGTGTATGAATCTGAATACATCTTTATAGTGAACAGATTGAAATGACTCTTGTGTAGTATTTTGAAAGTGGCACTTACGGTACAAGGTGGCTGCATCCACGGCTCTCCATCTATCTGCATCGGCAAAGGCTTCTTTGTCCTATAAATGAGTGCATTTTGGAAAAAAAAAAAACACTTTAGAAACAAAAATGAATGTGAATGATATAATGACAAATTTGCTTGGGGTGACTAAACAACACACATTCAAATCACAAGACTCAATAATGGTTAACAATAATAAATGACAAAAGAATTAATGGGATGTAAATAGCATATTTGACTTTTGAATAAAATGCGAATGAGTATGTAAATGCAGGGAATGCAGATTGACAGTAGTGATGAACATGTCTGAGCACGTCTTGATCCTTGTTTGTAACCGTTTGTCTCACCTGATGGTAATCTGAGATGTTTTGGCAAGCCGGACTGCGCTCTTCAGCCCTGTGTATATCTGTCCCATCTCAATGGCTCCTTCCAACCCCACCAACTCCACACGTTCATCGCTCATGTCTGTTTGGACACCTTAGTGTTAGTGTTAGCTTCTTTTATGACCATTCATGACATGAACTATTTCAAAGATCAAAATGCACAATAAAATGGAGTTATTGACGCCCAAAAGAAATATTCTGATATGATGATGACCCATGATTCTGAACTGCCTGAAACAAATCGTCAGTCGTTCCAGTCTTACTTCCTGCACAAACCAAGGTAGGTTTACAACAATTTTGCATAATGCCAGCCTATGGTCTTCAGCTGTAGCTGAGGCCTGGAAGAGTTTGGTTAGTGTTGTCAACATGTCATGAAGATACTATTTTTCTGTGCTGTGAAAGCAAATCCACATTGTGTGCACTTGTCAGACAGGGTCATCTAACCAATCAGAGTAGAGGAGGCTTTCGGAAAGAAGGTTAAAAGATGTGTTTTTTGACCTTGAATGCATGTAAACATATTGTGGGAGACGTCCAATACAAAATTTTCCCAAAAAAGTTTGGTAAATTTTTAAAATAACATAATAATAGGGGCTTTATAGGTTTCTCATATATAATGAAACGTACCTTGCGGGCTCACTTTTAAGACTTCAGGGTCTACTATGACCTCAGGCAAGTCCTGGTCCGCTTTTTCACTTTTTTTGGCTTCACCCCACAGGTTGGAGCCACCGTGCATGCTGGGAATGTTGAGGACGGCAATTCCCTCCAGAGAAAGACAACTGAGATCCAACTGAGTCCCGCAACACTGGATAAGGCCGGACAGAGGCGCTGGGGTCAGTTCTGTTACTTTTTCCATTTTAAAAATGATTTCAAGGCGAATACGTGCATAAGCAGATTTTTAAGTAATGAATTGCATTTGCTTTATATTCTGAATGAATGCCCCTGATCTGGTAGATTAAAAAGGGCCTGGCTTGAGCTCTGTCAGACGACTAATACCAAAAGCAGGTTAATAACAGGTGTTATCACTCTAATGCCCTTTCTGTGCTCTTGCTTTTTAGATGATGCTTTTTGATGGGCTTTCAGCACAAGGGTATAGCTGGAATGATCAATAACTCATGGGAGTGTGATCTTCTTCTTTTCTTACCTCAATGGTGAGACACTCCTTGAGTTTTTTACAGGATGCTGAGATTGTCTCAGACGTGGCAAATTCAAAATACCACAGTTTGTTCTTCATCCTGAAAGAAAGATTTATATGCATGAAGAGGATGCCACAAACTCATGCAGACCTTTTTTAGAACATTTTCTCTTTATGTTTTTTTGGTCATATGGTTCCATTCAAATTAAAAATGGTCATTAAGTTGGATGCTGCTAAGCCAAACTTCTTTTCAAAAAAAGAAAAGTAAAAAGTAATTAATCAGGGTATTACATGTATACACTATTACATGTGTTTACAAAGATTTTGAATGTTTTTAACAGTCTTTTCATTAAAATGTTTTATGCTAACAGTAATATTGTGAAATATTATAAGAATTAACAATTTTCTATTTGAATATTTAAAAAAAATGTTTTCCTGTGATAAATCTGAATTTTCAGCATCATTACTCCAGTCTTCAGTGTCAGATGATCCTTCTAGAATCATTGTAGTATGCTGATTTGCTGCTCAAGAAATATTTATTATTATTATTAATGTTGAAAATGGATGTGCTACTTAATATTTTTGTGGAAATTGAGAAAAAAATTACTTTGATGAAAAGAAAGTTCAACAGAACAGCATTTATTTGAAAGAGATTTTTTTTAAACAATGTAACAGGTTTTATTGTCACTTTTAATTAATTAATCTATTCTTGATTAATTTGAATGAGCCCTTGCTGAATAAAGGCATTAATATATATAAGACAACATATAATATGTTATATATATAATTTATCTAGAAAATCACTTAATTTATAACAACTTTAAACCTACAAAGTTTTCACTAACTTTTAAAAGAATTGTAATTGATTTAAATTTTAGAAATTGACATCAGATCCACTGTTCAGAACCAATGTGCATTTTAATGGATATTAGACATTAGTTTACAAACACAGCGTTATTTTCGTATATCATAACTACTAAAATTTGTGTATTATTTTTCAGAAAATATTGTAAAAAAATCGGTTTAGTGTGTGTCATGCTCACCTGCTGTTAAACTTCTGTGGATGTTTCTCCCTCATGGTGTGAAAGCGGTGAGCGATGGAGGCATCCTGTTCCAGACACAGCCAACACAGAGAGAATGATCAAATCTTTTTTTTTTTTTTTTTTTTTTCGAATATAATTATATTGGCTGGAAAAGCATAGAAAGAAAATGAGGGTCTTGAAACTACCTAAAAGGTAATGTATTAGATGATTTCATATGAATCCTGTACTGTATGTGTCTTACCACTCCAATGGAGAAATAGTTGTTGATGATTTCGTAGGGAACAGGATCACCTCTCTCCTGACTGTCCTCCAAGATCACCTGTATGCTCCAGCGATCCATCTGCACCACAGAACTGGCCTCAATGTCCTTCAAAATCCGGCCCAGATCCATCCCGTCATAACCTACAGCATCATAACCGTGAGAGACACTAAATATAGACATATAGGCACATGTTCAAGTTTCAAGTTCGGCTTCTCGCCTCACCTCCGCCCCATCGAAGACACCGTGCAAGATCATTTCCTGTGCCAAGAGGAAGCACGGCCACTGGGGGGCGCGCTGCCAGGTTGGCTTTATCTTTGAGGCATTGGAAAGAACAGTTGGTTGAAACTAGTCAAATGAGAGCATGCATAACACATTTACTGTGAGTGTCACAGGAAGTATGTTTGATTTAGTTTCCAACCTATAGCGTCCAGGATCCAGCCCACTGTGCCATCACCTCCACAAACTAATATTCTAAAGTTCGGCAGATCTCTGAAGAAACATAACCTGGTTTGGAAACAGAAGATCATATAGATTACCACTTCAGTTAATTTAAGACCATCCACATCTATAAATCTTTAGTCCATTTTTAATAGTTTTGTTTTCCACAAGTTCAACCAAGCGGATGCTGGACACAAATAAATATTTATATACGTATGCTAAAAATGATAGTGAATTCCTTACCCTGGACCTGGCCCACCACTGGAAAGATTATAAACCTGCCGAGGATTCAACAAGTATTGGAATTTCCGAAGGATTCTGTAAAAACATGTATTTAGTGATTCAAAATAATGAAATGCACATAGGCAATTAGATAACGATGGATGGATGGATGGATGGATGGCAGTATTCTCACCTCTCTCCCTGTTTACCGCCGCTTTTAGGATTCACAAACACTAAAAGAGGATGAGTGTCAGCAATTGGGGTTATCTGTTTGGGGACAGGAAGCTGTGTTTTAATTTGCCTGCCATTATTCAGTGCATTATTCTCTGCATGGTATGATAGCAGAAACATAAAAGACTGTCCATGCTGTCTTACCTGTAGCACCTGTCCGTCAGGTGTAGTGTTGTGGTCACTGTCATCACCTGAAAATGCGCAGCTGTTCTTTACACAGTTTTGCCTCTCCTATGTGAGGAAACAAAGGACAAAAGGTACAATGGAGAACGGCAAATAACCTATGTTTAATGTTTTCTATGTAAGCCGACCTTTAATCTTTTAACTATCTTCCTGTTGTTTTTAGTATAATCAAATGGTGGTGTTGTGCTTTTGTGCAGCCACGGAGCTTTGCAGGCAATTTATTATCTAAACCAGGAACATGTTTGAATCCATTTTTGGGAGTTTTTGTATTCGCTTAGGTAAAAAAACAGTCTAGCACAGTGGTTCTCTACCTTTTTTTGCCTTTTGAACCTTTTTGTCCCCACTGTCCAACACTATATGCAAAGGATAAAATATAATCAAATATGAACAGAATTATGATATATTAAATTAGAATGCTATATATATTTAAACTATATATACACTGATGAGCCAAAACCAGTACAGAATGTCAGTGATGATCTACTAACAAAGCCACTTATTAAGGTCTGGTAGATTAGATCAGTTCTTGTAATCAATGTGTTGGATGCATGCAGGAATAAAGATCTGAGCGACTTTGACAAGGGTCAGATTGTTATGGCAAGGCGACTCGGTCAGAGTATCTCAAAAATGGCTAGGCCTTGTGGTTTGTACCTAGTCAGCAGTGGTGAGAATTTATCAACAGTGGTCAGTCAGAGGAGGGACAAACCCCAAGCCCACTGGCCTAGCATTAAACTAATTAAATAAGTAGCAAATGAGTGTATATTGCTGTATAGTGCAGTTGCAAATCCAGCAACTTGCATCCATGGACTTTTCCTCTGGAGAGACTTGTTTGTATTACCTTGATGACGGGATAAATTGCCCATGGTGGTAAGATATGATCTCTGAAAGGGCCACAATCACATTCGAATGGTTCCTGGGTTGCACACTCATCATGTCTCTAAATTAGGACAGTAAAAAGTAATGAAAAATGATGAATATAACAAACTGACCTGCTTTATTAGGACGCACACCCAACTTGTGATATTAAGAGAGATATTTTATCAACAGTGTTTTTTTTTTTTTTACCTAACTTCACTTTAAATGTCTTCTGATATAATGATTTTCAGTAACTGTATACTGTACAGTAGCTTTTCAGAAAGTCCCAATCTCACCAAGGAGTGACACCAGACACAGCGTTTCCCGGTAAGGCCTTGCAAACTCTTGATCTTCTTTTGACACCGGTCACACTTCCCAGAATCACAGTTTCCGCTTACCCAGTCATGAGTTGCAATCTGCATACAAACAAATGAGATGCACAAATGCTGTTTACATTTCCAGTACTAAAGACGAAGCTTATAGGAGATGCTTGAGGAGGATCCCCTTCTCCACTTGGCCCAATATGTCAGATTTACGATACCTAAGGACCTTAGTGATTGTTATGGATATTTAAAATGCCAAGGCTTAAACGTTCGTGACAATGCAACACTGGCCCCTCAACCGTCCCGAGCGTCGTTCATTTTCTCACAATTCATAAGTCCTAGATGTACTTATTAAAATGTATTATTTTAATTAAATACTTTTTTTTTGCTAGTTTTATTTTTAGTAAAGTTTTTTATAATTATTTATAAATAATTGTATTAACATATGACATTTACCATGAAAGGGTTTTGTGCATATTTTTAATGTTGTATGCATATTACTTTTCATGTTATGCAGTTATTTTGCCATCCACTCCTTAGATGTTTAACAGTATTGGTTTTAAGTTCAATAAAAAAAAAGAAAAGAAAAAAAGTGTGCTTACCCCTGTCTCTTTCTTTGACATCACATATGTGCGAGTGCAAGAAGCCGGGTTTTTATTGGCACACCGGCCATGGACTGTGTATTTGCAGCCTGTGTATGATAGCAAATGGTTGTCATACCAAACTGATCAGAACTAAACAAATGATTCACTAGATATTTAAACCACAATACACAATGGATTTCTGGACTGTCTCTGGACAATTTTAGCATTTTAGTCGTTACAATTACACATTTTATTTGCAGTCTGGAAATATTGATTGCATTTGCAAAACCATCGGTGAACCTTTCTTGCAAATTACCCAGAATTCCACTCACAGGTGCAGCAGAGACCCTGTTTGCGGAGCCCCAGCAACATATTCTGACAGACGTTGCAGTACACAGGCTTGTTGAAATGTTTCATCCTCCACAGGTGCTGGCCGTCTCTTTGGGTCATCTTGGGAAAGCGGAAAAATGTCATGTTAGGGCGAAAGTTTTCCCAACGTGCAAGTTCGACACGTTGACCAACAGAAATCATCTTTCTGCAAAATTTCACTTCAAAAAGTCACGATTCATGAACAATTTGTGATTCATGAACTATTCTGTTTGATTTGTGAAAAGGATCATTTGGTTCAATGAAAAGAATCGGCTCATTTATTCAGATTCGGTTCTTGAGTTCAACTCAATGAACTAGTAGTAGCTTACTCTGGATGGAGCATTTTGTAAATACTCACTCAATGCTATCCCATGACTTTAGAAGACTTGAATTAAAGCACATGAGACACATGAACAACTCTGATGCTTTTTGGTGATTTTTTGCCATTTTTATCTGCATAAGATGAAAAGTACTCATCTATTAAAAGAACAGATGACGACATAACAGTAAATAAAACGATTATCAGTGGAAAGTGTTTTTTTAACCACTTTCAGTGACTCACATGAGTGTCATCCTGTTTATTTCACATTGCTTCCTTATCTTACACCTACTGGCATTTTTTTAATGAATTCAACGGCCAGCTGGAGGTGGTTAGGGTGGGCTAAGGACACTGACTCATGCAGTCACACCAGAGAATTATTCATATTTCATAATATTATATACTCAGGTGGGAACTTCAGGCGGCTGAACAGGAGGTCAGAAACTGTAACCCACACAGCCAGGCTGTAACTGTGCCCAAATGGCACAGCATGTTCCTCTTGCGTCGCTCGGACGTAGAAATAGCACACGGGGAAGTCCCTGGCTTTGATACATGGTTAAGCAAAGCTCTGAATCACAAACGCAAGACAGTGGGTAATATAAGTTTAGGATGCCTAAATTCAAGTAAGCCCTAATGTGAATAAGATAATCAATGTGATCTATGAGTAGCTGACTTTGACCGTTGGTCTTAACAACAAATTTCTTGTAATCGTAACTTCCGCATGTGGTTTAACTGTGCATGTGCAACTGAGAATTACACTTAATTTCTGAATGATTCATTTCAAGTGTGAAAGTGACATTAACTTATAATTTAAGGGTTGAACATTGGTTTTTATTATAATAAGATGTATTTAATCTTGGCAGTTAACTCCGTGGCTTGTCTCCAGGTCATGCACTGGCACAGTGTGGACAGACAGATGAGTCTTGGTGTGAAGTGTGAAGCCAGCTACTGCTCTGGTGTTACTTGCTGGATGCCAGCTTGAACTTGCATTTTAAAGCTGTCAAACGGCTTGTGTGGAAAGATGCATGTAAGAGAAATTCTGAATATATGCCTTCTTTAGATGCATGCTTATTTTAGTAAGATGTTATGTAAAGTAGATCCTATGCATGGCGTGCTAATGAGATGCAAGGGATTTCTGTTTTGCATAGCACATTGCTAGTATATTTTTGCTTCCTTCTGGTTGGGAACCACCACAGGGATGTTCTGCGATATTTAGATTAATAGAAAAATGCATATGGGTTTATCACTGACTAATTCTTGAAGTTTTTAAATGCCCCCACCCCACAATCATCAATATATGGCCAAAAGTATGTGGAACACCATCCATATATGCTTGTTAAAACAAATAAAAAATAATAATAATACAATTTTAAAAATAAATAAATTAAACATAAAAAATTATTACCGTAAAAATAATAAAATTAAATAAAATTAAATATTAAATTGATGTGATTTGGTTGCACATATAAGAGGGTCCATGCATGCAAGCTTGTGTTGCTGTAGCGCCAGGGTTGAAATAAATTAACTAAACATGATCCTTTAGAAATCATTTTAATATGATGGTAAATAAAAATAAAATTAAACATAATAAATAAAATAAAATAAAATGAATCAAATAATTACAAATTGAAATAATAAAAATGTAAAAAAAAATAATGTTCATGTAGTCGTGCATATAAGAGTGTGCGTGCATGCAAGCAAGCATGTGTTAGAAGTGTCACTGACTCACTGTTGCTTAAACCAGTGCAAAGTCAGCAGGGCCTTTGATACGCTAATGTGAGGCTGAGAAACACAACCGAATCGGAAGAAAGAGTGCAATAAATACATACATCAACTAAATTTTTACATTTTTCTCTCTGTTCCCTTTTGCCACTCCTTCTGAGAAGTGTAATCTGAGCAATAGTCTTGTACACTCCAAAAATAGCACCGCGCCTCTATGACTTTGCATCCAAAACTGAGTGAGAATCTGTACTTGTGTTTTCCTACCTTCAATCCCAGTAAAACCAGTAGTGGGACATTATTCATCCCCCCCTCCACCCATTCCTGTAATGACACCGTTCCGCTGCTATCTGCATCAATCGCTGTCATCATATCCTTCAGCACCTTGAAACAATCACAATGTGCATTTCTGTTGTAACATGTACATGATGCAACTAAAGTTCACCTTAGGGAATCATTTGAATCATAAGGAGCAACATTATGCAAACATCTTGTCACAAGTTGATTCATGCTAAATGAGGGAGGAATGTCTCTTCAACAGGGTGTAGCTAAGATGGAAAAAGCCATGTCAAGCGCATTGGCATTTCACTACTTCTTGGCAAATGTTACACACACACACAAACAAAACACAACTCACAGGCCTCAGTTCAGAAACATCCCAACCAAGGTAATCTGCTGCATGCATCATCTGGGCAATAATGCGGTCCACTTCCTGTTACACGGAAACACGACTGGTTACAGATATTACCAAAAGGTGTAATTTGAGCAAGATGATTTAGTTATATAATGAGGAAATGGAAAATTTCAGGCAAAGACCACCCACCGAACTGTCCAGAACACCGTTGCCATCTCTGTCATAGAGTCTAAAGGCAACTGTGAAGGGAAAAACATGGGCACAAAGTTGTCAACAATCATTCAATATTTGAAGTGGAAATTTTTTTATTTTTTTTTAGATTTACACTCAAGTTTGTCCCTGGGCTGCCCATCTTCCAGGAGAGAGAAATAACAGGATACATCCTTCAGAAAGACTTCCCCTTAGAAAGAAAACAAAGATATATATATTCACAATAAAAGAAGTGGTTTGATTATTTTAAACCCATTGACTTCCATAGTATTTTGGTTAAAAAAAAACCTGTTTGGTTCAAAATATCTTCCTTTGTGTTCAGCAGAAGAAAGAAATTCATACAGGTTTGAAACAACTTAAGGGTGAGTATATGATTACAGAAATTCACTACTCCTTTAAGCGTTGTTAAAATAAATGATTTTTATAAAGTAAAAGAATAAGGTTTCACTTTATTCAAAGGTGACGTAGTTACACTGTACATAAATAAGTGCTGAGTAATATTAATTAACTACATGTACTTGTTATAGAGTTACAGTTAGGGTTAAGATTTGGTTTAGGGTTAGTAGCTTTTAACTCTGCATAATTTACTGTTATTACTATAAGTACATGTAGTAATGTGTACCTACGTCACCTTAAAATAAAGTGTTACCAAGAATAATTTCTGATGTGACAGTTTTATTCAAAATGTACCAATAATATCATCAAACTATGATAAAAATAAATAAATAAACACGATTCCCAGTTATGCAACCATTTCTGTTGTTTCACTTACAGTACAGTAAGATTTTCTTATTCTTACTTTTTCTTATTTTTACCAGGCCTGCATTTATCTGATCAAAACTACACTAAAAGGAGTAATGTGAAATCTCTCTGTCTCTCTATTCCTTATATGTCCTTCTAAGGTCATAGGACTGGAGCATATCCCAGTTTCTCAGACCAGAGGCAGGGGAAAGCACCCTGGACAGATGGCCAGTCCAACCTTGCTGAATAAAAGTCATTACAAAATAGAACTGATCCCAGATTTTTTGAACGGTAGTGTACAAGCCTAATACATGACCCACTGTTTTCATCTGATTTTGCCGACTCTGAGTTCTGGAAGGATTTGAATAGCCGCTGGCACAGATTTGTTGGGAAGTCCTCCACCTCCAAATATGTCTTCAGGAAGAGCCGGAAACCTTCCTCATCAATGCACTGAGAATATGAAGAAGATAAATCAAAATGTGTGTGCTACATTAAAGGCTTTTATGCATTTAAAGGGACACAGAACACATACAAAAATATAAACAAACAATTCACACACATAGTGTTTTAAAATAAATCATTGTTTTTTTTAATAATGTATATTTTGGTGATCATTCAGAAGGTACACATTATTGGAAACTTATAAAGTCATAAAATGATCTGTAACCCTCTCAAGGGGATGTAACTGAGATCCAATTAGATTCTGCACTACAAACCTAATCCTAGTTCTACTAACAGTGCCTGCTGTCCTAGTTCTTAACACAGAAAGAAAAAAACAGCAAGATGTATTCAAACTTAAAATGCCTCAGGATACTGCTGCTCTATCTGGAGAGAAAAAAGAAGGAAAACCAAGGCTATGTTATGCTATATAACATACTCTCCCCATTTTGACAATTACAGCAATTAAGATATCCATGACATAATTCAGAGTTTACTTTATTTTAGTCCCCCAAAACAAGCAAGACATAAAGCTCAGAATGAGACAAACACATAATTTACTGAAACAAAACTCTTATACATTGATTTAAAGTGTTTGAGAGCCAAGTCAGCACACAGTCAGCTGAAAAACTAGTGCACAGATCAGGTATACCGAGCAAATCTTTGTCATATGAGCATGTCTGAATAGCAAATCTTTTAGAGCTACAATTCCACGACTTCTGAGCAAAGTCTTCCTGTTTTACACTGCACTTCCTGTTGTTTATCTATTACAAATGTCATTAAAACCATTAAACTTAGGGTTAGGGCGCATAGCTTTTCATGCCTGGACAAGGATGAACCGTTTATTGAACCTTAAGACAAAATCTTTAAAAAAAAAGAAGAAAATGGCATATATTTTGTATGTGCTCAGGCTTTTATTTATACATTTATACATCAGGCTTTTATGACCAATATAGTATGATATAGTGAGAACATGGAGCTCACACTTAAAGGGATACTCCACTTTTTTTGGAAATAAGCTCATTTTACCACTCCCCCAGAGTTAAACAGTCGAGTTTCACCGTTTTCGAATGTATTCAGCCGATTTTCTGATATTTAGAAGAATATCAGTAACCATACAGTTTCTGGTCTCATTGACTTCCATAGTAGGAAAAAAATATACTATGGAAGTCAATGAGGACAGAAACTGTCTGGTTACTAATATTCTTCTAAAAATCTGAAAATCGGCTGAATACATTCGGAAACTGTAAAACCCAACTGTTTAACTCTGGGGGAGTGGTAAAATGAGCTTATTTCCAAAATAAGTGTAGGAGTATCCCTTTAAGGAAGAAAAAACTTTTTTTTTTAATAAGTTTTACAAAGTGACACCAGTGCAGGCTATATAATTTGCAAAACCTGCAAAGCAGTTTATGTTCATGACAGCCGCAAGATGTGTACACCTAATATGGTGCATCACAAGTGTGCTGCTTAACCTCAAACCTCCACAAACACCTTGACAAGTTTCGTCCGTCGAGATCCCAACACAGAGTACCACAAGATGTAAAATCAAAGCTTCTAAAATGAAACACTGTTTGAAGCTAAATGTGACAAAATGTTGCTGTTATTTTCAGCGTGAGCCGAAAATAACAAACGGCGCCCCATACAACAGCAGCATGTTGAAATGATATGCCAAAATGCGTTTCCTATTAGACTACAATGAAAGTATTGTACAGTAGCCTATCAGATAAGGTCAGCTTTGCCGAAGTGTGTTTAATTTAGGCTATTTATTTATTTTTGTCCCTGCGCGCCGATCATAGACGGAGTTCACTGCTGATGAACTTTTTTAGTCTCGCGGCTGTCATCAGCAGCGCCTTGTATCGCCCAATCAGCGGATGGTGAGTGGGTGTGGTTTTGAAAAGTTCTGTGATGCGGTTGTGGGTGAAATAATAGCCCATCCGCGCATCTCTAATGGCAGCAAGTCCACTGAAATCAGTACTGAGGTAATCCAACACTCCCTGACTAAGCAGGTACATGTTGAATCGTCCAACGGATGAGTTCTGAGATGCTTAACCAGACGTGAGGTGATTCACATTACAGAGATGGATGGATCTGTTCATGGGTAATTGGACTAAGATGCTGTAAAAGCAGAGTGCTGACAGTTGGCCCCTGGCAGCCAGTTCACTCACCTCTCCATGTCTGTATTTGGCTAACCTGCCATCTGCATTGAATTCCTTTAACACATCTTTTACTTTCAGACTGCAGTCTGCAGAGAGATAGAAAGGGTGAGTGGGAGGGGGCAGAGAAGGAGAGAGAGAGAGAACATTTTTTTTTTAAATTGGACAAGATGACATTTTGGCACAATGAACCACAGACATCACAACTTTTAATGAATTGTATCTGCATCATCTCTGCATGACAAATAAGCTAAATCATAAACTCAGTACATACTCAGGCAAATACCTACAACACCTTTACTGTAGTAAAATCCCTTAATCATGCATGAGACACACGTATGGAGCGACCAAAGTCTGGCTGCTTAGCATGAGTCTGTTAGCACATGCTGGTCAGATGCTGTAACTAAAACTATATTTCTTCATTGATTACCATTAAATAAATGCTGTTAAAATATTTCTTTCATGCACAATTCTTTTTAAATAAAAATACATCATAGTTTGGATATGTATATTGAGTTCTCTGGGAATTCAACCCATGCACTTGGCATTGCTAGCTCTACATACTACCAAGCGAGGTACAAAAGCACTTTTATCAGGGCTGCCAAGCTTTGAGTTTAGCTTGGAGTGACAATTGTGGAAAGGGGGGGATGTAAAAAAAAACTACAATAAGTGTATTATGATTATCAAACCATTTGGTAACTGAACAGAATTTTAGTGACATGTACAATGTTTACATGGTACAATGACTGGTATGCTAGTGTTTTTATTATTTAGCCCTGTCAGCTGGTATTATTATCAATGGTTAAAATAGTAACTCAAATTTTATAAAATAAGGTTTTTACTATATAAACAACATTATAATATTTTAATGATACATAAAGTAAAAGAAAATAAGTAATATAGTGCAAATATTTAGCAAAATAGTCCTCTCTATAGCTTATTATTCGAGCCAACTAATGTGCTAAGGTCATTAAATGGCTTCCCTGAGGTAAATGTGATGTTATGTGACATATTGTTCTCCAGCTGTTTTACTGACCTCTTTACGCAGTTGAATAAAACTGATATTATGTGATATTAACACACATAATGATCGACATTATATATGAGGCATATACATTTAGCTAAGTTGCACAGTATCTTTCAACATACCATTGTTCATTCGTGTTTTAATTAGTGGTAAAGATTAAGAGATCGGTTCACGTGCCGCTTGAACTACAGCGATCTGTCACGTCACTAACAAGTGCCAAAACGGTTTGTATTATTGTTTCCATTTTGTAATAAAAATAACAGAGAATATGTTTCATATCAAAAGTAACCTGCTCTCTTGTCTGTCGGTCTCAGTGTCCTCTTTGCTTCTCGATTCTTCTCTGCGTGAGAAAATGGATGTGTCCTGCTTTTATTGCTTATTAAATTGCTAGTTTTTTCTTCGTAGAAGTTGGTCACATTACTCAAACCAAATTATCAGTGATTTGAATATTTTTTCCAATATATTAAGAAGGCCTACATGAAAACGTAATGCATAGTAGAAATGAATGTGGATATAACGTTATTAATAATAATTACCTGCTGAATAATACTGAATTATTCTATAATATCAAACTTTTCAGGCTCCATTAAAGAGGACCTATTTTGCTTTTTTACCTTTTCAACTTTCTTTAGTGTGTTATCAGCAAAGTTAAAAAGCACAAAATCCACTTCTCTATAAGCACTTTCTCTCCCTGTAATGCCTCTATCATAGTCTTGAGTTTTCTTCTGGGGACATATATGTCAAAACATCCCTCATTTAATAGCATTTTAATGGCGTCTTTCTACGAGTCCGCACTTTCGTGACGTAATGCTTCTTTGACTGCCACGTAGAAGTCTGCTGCGGAGCTCGTGGTTGACCAATCACATTCACAACACACTGGTGCATCCAACCAATCAGAGCACAATGTGCTTTTCGGAAGCACAAAACAAAGCGTTACTGACAGACTGGGATGAGAGGTGTTGCAACAATGTAAAATATGTAAACAATTATGTTTTTGAGAACATTAAAGCATTAAATCTATTCTAGTAGACCCCAAAAACCAAATCCTGACTTTGTAAAGAGGCATAATATGGCCTCTTTAAATTAGAGAAACATAATGTTCATTTTTAATACAAGTGTTTTTTTTTTTTTGCACATTTTTTTTTCACATCATTTTAGTGACATTATAAATATTTGAATGGTGTCAATCAAATCAAGTCAAATCAGTCTTTTCCAGCATTAATTGTTTAAAATATTTGAGCAAGTGAAGTAAACCGGGCTCACGGACGTCTTGGATGCACACGACTGGCATGGTTTTTTTTTTTTTTTTTGACCCTTAGAATACAGTGTCATTTCGCACTTAAGAACTGAGAGTGACTCATGTTTTGTAATGATGCCGAGCATTTAGTGAGAGTGGGAGGGATGTGTGGGCATCACAGACTCACAGTCAATGTAATGCTGAAGCTGGATGAAGTCTATGGGCCTCAGCTCTCTATCATCTGACAAGCCCGGGTCTGACATCACGCCAGAGCCTCTGAATAACACTGAAAGAGGGAAAGAGAAAGGTTGGTGAGAGGCAAACAGACAGATTAAAAGCCAAATCCATCTTTACTTTAAGATACCATTTTCATGCACTTAAAGTGAAAAGAAAATCTAAGCCTAGACAGAATTATGGGCATACAATGCATGCACATGGCTGTCAGCTTCATAACATCCTTTCTGGCACCTACCATAAATGCTTTGAAAAATTATTTGCATGAATAATGTTACAGCATTTGATACTTAAATTCTCCATGAAACCAGTTTTATAAAAAAAAGAGACAATTCAAAGTTCAACTTTTGACTTTCTGCTATCCAGAATGATATTTTTTTTCTTCTTTAAGGCTGAGCAAAGACTCTAAATCAAAATAATTGTCCATTCTTTTTTTTTTAATTATGTAAGGAATTTATAGTGTTGCAAAATAAAGATATTTTGATTGTATTCATGCATGAACAGAGAAAAGCCCTTAATAGTCATGCTATACAAGAATTTTGGATATTATAAAAAAGTAATTTCATCATAAGTGACAGAAAAGAATTTTTTTACAAAAATATTGATATTTTAAATAAATGCTGTTTAAACAAAAAAAAAATATTAAGCAGCACAACAACAACGTTTTTTCAACATTGATATTAATAATAATAAATGTTACTTGAGCACCAAATCAGTATATCAAAATTATTTCTGAAGGATCATGTGATACTGAAGACTAGATTAATGATGCTGAAAATTCAGTTTTGCTATCACAGGAAATTATCACATTTTAAAATATATTAAATAGTAAAAAAATCTTTAAAATTTTGTAATAATATTTCACAATATTACTGTTTCAAATTTCTAATATTATCAATACGTTAATAATATGAACATTGTTCTGACAGTTTTTTAGACTATAATGTATCATGCCAGCCTGGCTATGTAAATACGCATGTCACATAAAATCCCTCATTTACATAGTCACTGCGACATGCTTTTGAAAACAAAACTATGTGAACAGAAAACATCAAACGCACACTGCTCGTGTGGTCTCGACTACGAAAAAAGCTGTGTTCCCAATTAAAAGATTAATCTTATGTTTTTGTGTAGACACCAGTTGAATGCTGACAGAAAAAAGGTTGAGAGTCTCATATATTTTATTTGTTGATGTACGAGTGTATGCTTAACATACAAAATGTTCAAAGTCAGCTGAAAATACTAAAAATAAAAGTGTACACATAGCATTGTTTCAAGGACCTAAGGCGAAATGAGACACACAACATCTCTCTTTTTGTGTGTGTATTGTACAGAAACACTATGTTTCTGGCTCTCATCTGTAATGGAAAATGGATCAGCACTCTCATTAAGGAAAAAGCCTGTCCAGGGAGATTAGCATGCTAGTGCCAGGCTAAAGTTTTTCTTCCCCTGCACATTCATTAAGGTTTCTTCAAACTTTTTTACAGAATCCAAACAGCGAGAATAAATGGGTGACCTAGTGTTACGTCTACAGATCTTTTTTTAGGAACTAATAATAGTAGCCGAAGTAAAAGTTTCATAATGGTGATCCTGCACTTGAATGTGAACACAGAAAATCAGCCACATATTTAAAGCCAACAAACAAACATATGCAAAGCTCTAGTCCGAACATCAGGAGTTCCTTAACCTAACCTCTTATGAAAGTTTGTCAGCATGAAATAGGGTACAATCCACTTTAATAGTAGTTTATATTCTTCTAAGAATGTAAGAGCTGAAAAACTCTTTATACGACAGAGAAAAGGCAGAGAAAATGAAGCCCATACACCCACTCTGATGTGAGCTAACAAAGGGTCACACCGTTCTCAGTTAATTCCCTCAAAAGGTTAGTGTCGTTGCCTAGAAACTTTGTTTGTGTGGTCTATTCCGTGTATATATGGGTGGGTGTGTGAGAGAGAGAGAGAAAGTTGGGGAAACAGGCAATACTTTTTTTCTTGTTGTTGACAGATGATTTATCATACACGCTAGTCTTATCAATCATTTCTGAAAGATAAAAGGAAATATACATTTTTTACATTTATTTATGTATAGTTTAGTCATGACAACTCTGGGGATAGTTTGTAAAATATTTCTATTAATGTAAGTAGAATGAATAGGTTTAGTAGTAATTAGGGGTATAACAATATATCGTGCCACAATATATCGCAATACAAAAATGCAACAATACGCATCGTGGATAGTGACAATATGTATCGTGGCTAGTCCCGAAAAAAATACAATTACTGTGTGAGAAAGAAATGCATTTTTAGTGTCAGTACTACATTAAACTACAATACATAATGTTGATTCTAATGTATAATAATGAAATGGGGGAATATTTGTGGGTCCTGATTATGCCAAAATTTCTTATCGCAATAATATCGTATCGTGTGTTCAGTATCATGATATGTATCGAATCGTGACATGAGGGTATCGTTACACCCCCAATAGTAATACTAAATTCTGCTACTTCGCTTAGCTTCATAGACAGAGTCTGGAAAGGCATAATTGAAAAGTGTTTTCTTTCTCGCAGGAGAGCGCTTGTGTGAAGTATAAAATCATTGGTTACCCATAAGCCAATCACATAATGCAATCATCTCTCTCTCCAACTTAAACATCCCCTCCATTCAAAATGTTTAACAAACACTCTTCATGTTCGGGCTTCAGTTTGCAAATGCCGGGAATATTCTCCACAACAGAGCGAATTGTATCCCGTATCTCCTTATCCGAAGTCGTTTTCGATTTCCCTAACCTAAAAAATAATATTAAACTCGGCACTTACGCCCGCCTCATGGCTCTCAGTCCGCCCTCTGTTCGTTGATTGGCCGGCTATTTTCAGGCCAGAGGAAAACTAAGAGATAAGTCGCTATCTCAGACTGAGTACAAAAGCGAACTGAAATTGAGCAGAAGTACGAAGTCTGACGTAGTCAGGCTATAGGTTTGGTATTGGCAGACTGGAACTGCAACTGCAGAGCAAGCACTGAATGATCTGAAGTCTGAACATAAAATTAAAGGGTTAGTTCACCCAAAATATATTTCATTAATGAACCATAACAAAAAATTATGTCATTAATGACTCACCCTCATGGCATTCCAAGCCTGTAAGTTTAAAATATTTTAGATTTAGTCCGAGAGTTTTCTGTCCCTCCATTGAAAATGTATGTACGGTTTACTGTCCTTGTCCAGAAAGGAAAAACAGACATAATGAAAGTAGTCCATGTGACATCAGAGGGTTATTTATTATATTTTATAACATACAAATACAATTGTTATGTAAAATACATTATGGAAGACAATACAATGTTTAATAAATTATTTTTGAACCAAAATGTATTTTTGATGCCTCAAAACATAACTAACCCACTGATGTCACTGATACAGACAGCACATGGAGATCACTTTGATGATCTCTTTAATTCCTTTCTGGACAAGGACAGTATACCGTACATACATTACATTTTCAATGGAGGGACAGAAAGCTCTCGGACTAAATCTAAAATATCTTAATCTGTGTTCTGAACGACATGAGGGTGAGTCATTAATGACATAATTTTCATTTTTGGGTGAACTAACCCTTTAAGGAACAGCTAGAGAGAGAGAAAGGGAGAAAATTTACTTGTAAATGTTGAAATAAACATACTAATAAATAAATGCTTTGGAAGTATTCATTGTCATTGTTAGGTCATGTTAACTAGCTAATGTTAACAAATGTAACTTTATTGTTAAGGTGAAACTATTTCCCCCATTGCATTAACGAGAATGAGATTTTTTTTCTTAAAGGCTACAAAAAATTGGGAGAAGTGGGTTTAAATGTACTGTCATGAACATAATGTCACAAAAACATTATGTTATTGGGACCAAAAATATGCTTTATTTTCTTAATAAGAAACAAACTTAATATATTTTTAGTATTATGAGTTTAGATTGAAATATGACACATGATAATAGTTTTTCTTTATATTCAACCAAACGATATACGAATAACACAAACAGGATGGTTATGTTTGATATTTTCTGATGGTCTTGTTTCACACCAGTTGTGTCTTCAGTCAGTCAGTTGAATGGCTGCAGGTCTTGGATTCTCTCTCTCTCTGCATCTCTAATTGTTTGGGTTGAGCACAGAAGCGTGGTAATTTGATTCTGGCCTTTCTCATCACTTATTTGCATGCATAGCTCTGTTTTATGGATGGAGACAAATCTGTGCTTCACCAAACACTTAGTCCATTAAAACACTGGGCTATATGGATCCTTGGGGCTTGGCAAAGAACACTGTCTTTGAGACCATCCACAAAACATGGTATAAATCGTAAATTGTTTTCATATATTCAGAAACAGTTGCCAGTTATTATTTATACAATATAGATGCACATTTATTCATGCCAATGTGTCCATTTGCTGAGGTGGAAAATTTTGTATTGTTTTTTTCATTATAGATGAGGGTTACCAATACCATTATTAATTAAATGGACCTCAAATATTTTTTTTATTTTTTTATTTATTTTTTTTTTTGCATAATGTCTGTAAATCTATATAGTAATCAGTCTTTGTCCCAGAGAACCAAAATACTGAATACTAAATTTTTATATTTATAATTTTTATAATCTCGTTATCATTATTTGGTAAATAGCAGCATAATTCACTGGAAAATGTACAGTCAGCTGCTCCTAATCACAAAATAAATATCTGCAAAGCTTTTTTTTTTTTTACAGTTTGCTCTACGACTGTAATATTATATTTGGCAGCCCCCACAAGTGCATGACAGTCATGTGTCTCTTTAGATCTTGATCTCTATGCCATTCAAAACTATACAGGTAAAAATGTCAGAAGCATTACAGAAATGTCAGTAGCATTAAGGAAGTAGTGGGTGTTTGTAGTTAGTTTCGTGTTTCTGAGAGATTCCCTTGTATTGTGTATTGTGGCAAGCTTCTCTCTTCCTGTATTTTTTACTAGGTTGCTGACAATTGTTTTTAATTAAACATTAATATCTTAAGTTAAAATTTAAATAAGGAAAATTAA